TGCTTCGGGTCGTTGTCATGTTGGAAGACCCAGCCACGACCCATCTTCAATGCTCTGACTGAGGGAAGGAGGTTGTTGCTCAAAATCTCACAATAAATGGCCTCATTCATCCTCTCCTTAATACAGTGCAGACGTCCTGTCCCCTTCGCAGAAAAGCACCCCCAAAGCATGATGTTACCACCCCCATGCTTCACAGTAGGGATGGTGTTCTTGGGATGCATCTCATCCTTCTTTTTCCTCCAAACACGACGAGTGAAGTTTAGACCAAAAAGTTCTACTTTGGTCTCATCTGACCACATGACTTTCTCCCATGCCTCCTCTGGATCATCCAGATGGTCTTTGGCAAACTTCAGACGGGCCTGGACATGTGATGACTTGAGCAGGGGAACCTTCCGTGCAATGCATGATTTGAAACCATGACGGCGTAGTGTTCTACCGACAGTGACCTTTGAAACTGTGGTCCCAGCTCTCTTCATGTCATTGACCAGCTCCTCCCTTGTAGTTCTGGGCTGATTCCTCACCTTTCTCATCATCCGTGATACCCCACGAGGTGAGATCTTGCATGGCGCCCCAGTCCGAGGGAGACTGACAGTCGTCTTTAGCCTCTTCCATTTTCTAACAATTGCTCCAACAGTTGATCTATTTTCACCAAGCTGCTTGGCAATTGCCCTGTAGCCCTTTCCAGCCTTGTGGAGGTCCACAATTTTGTCTCTGGTTTTCTTTTGACAGCTCTTTGGTCTTGCCCATGGTAGTAGTTGGCGTCTGACTGACTGTGGGGTGGACATGTGTCTTTAAAGAGCTCAGACAGGTGCTACTAATTTAGATTAATGAGTGGAGTAGAGGTGGACTTTTTCAAGGCACAGTAACAGGTCTTTGAGAGCCAGAATTCTTGCTGTTTCTCAGGTGTTCAAATACTTATGTTCAGCAGTGCAAGACAAATAAATTCTTTAAAAATCATACAATGTGATTTCCTGACTTTTTTTTTTTAATTCAGTCTCTCAGGGTGGGAATGCACCTACAATATGTATTTCAGACCCCTCCATGATGTCTAAGTGGGAGAACTTGCAAAATCACAGCGTGTTCAAATACTTCTGTTCCTCACTGTATCTCCACAATGACTGGGTGGATTCCTGGTCGCTGGAGGATAAATTCTATTACCTCCTGTTGTTTTTTCATCTAGCACCACTATCATTTCAAAATGTTTTATTTTGTTCAATATTTTTGTTATATGACAAAATACTTTCAAAAACAAATTACCATTATGCTCAGTTGTACTTTTTAAGACAAATTAGCAAATGTTAGCATACTAACCTATACTCTAACATGATGAATTGGAACATAATACACCTGCTAAATATAAACATGTCACTGTGTGACTTTTAACCTGACTGTAGACTCTTGTTCACGGACTGTCAGTCTGCAAACATACAATAACCCTCCAGTAACACATTTAGTTTGGGAAATTATTTTTGATGCTACTATAAACAGGATACTATATTACTCAAGATTTTTAGTAAAATAACATGAATCAGTGGATGTTTCCATCAGCTACATTTTTGTAAATATACTGACAAGATTGCATAATTAATTAAGCTCCAGAAAATCTGATCACAGCATTTTATAGCTGATTCCCACCTACAAAATTGCCTGTTTTTTAATGATTAAATATGTCATCTCTGATCCCATTCCTGCAGCTTTGCAATATTTTAGCATCTTTGTTAAATTCCTGACATTGAAAAAGATCAGAAGTTACTTGTATGATAGTGCACAATACATCAGAAAAGTTTAAAGTTACCCATGGAATCCCTCAAGGTTCAGTTTCGAGTCCACTCTTGTTTATTTGGTATATTAATAAAATTTGTGTCCAGAGTAATGGAAAGTTTTGTTTTTTTTTTGCTGCTGATATAATGTTCTCTTGTTCTGACACACGTTTTGAAGATCTTTTGAAGAAAACAGAAAAAGAGCTGGCAATGATAATAAATTACAATTAAATGTGGATCAAATTAGGTGTATAATCTCTGGAAATCATAAAACTAAATGAGATTGTAGCCTTATAATACTGTATATGATATAGAAATCGAAACACTTTTTAAAATTTTTGGGAATTATTACTGACTGATCATAAATTAGTTTGGAAATCACACACAACATTGTATTGTGGTCAGAAGCACAGTGGACTGTGTATTTTGTCAGGCTTACAGTTCCCTGGGAGGACACTATAGATACAGTTTATGAGATGGAGAAATTGAAATACACAGAATTAGCAATGGAGGCAGAGGAGTGTGGCTGGAAACTTAAAGTCTACCCTGCAGAGGCTGGTTATAGGGGATTTGTAGCCAATCAGCTGTCTTTCAGTTAGGTTAGTTACGTATTAAAGGGCAGAGCCTGAGACAGGTAATTGGGAATCTAGGTAATAGCACAGCAATGTCCAGTGAGTGAAAAGGTGTGTGAATGGGGTAAAAATAGGTAAGTGATTTATAAATGGCAACATATGTGAGGATTATCCCTGTTAAGATGATGTAAACTAGCACAGGGGGACAGGCTTAGTAAAAGTTTTTAATACATGCAGCAGGCTTGAGGCCTACTTCCTGGTGTTAGCATGAGGAAGCTAACATGAGGGCATAGTAGAAGTTTGGTTTATTGGAATGAATACTAACACAGGATGGTTTCTGATGCAGTATAAAAGGAAGCAGAAGTCTGCTAGTTATCTGGTGAGCTATTTGAACTGTTTGGTGAGTTATTTTAAAAGTTTAGTGGCTAAAACAGCAGTTGAAATGTTTGCTAGTGCTAGTGAGTGTTCAGTGTTACCAACTTGGCAACTTTGTCCCTAATCTGGTGACTTTCCAAATTCTCTTGGCAACTTTTTTTGTCAAAAGTGACTAGCAACAAATATAGTGACTTTTTCTGGTGTTACTGGAGACTTTTCTGGTGTTCTGGAGACTAACGTGAAAGCACGTATCACTCTGCATTTATTGTCCTCAACGAGCAGTGCGTGCTGCCATGAGCCCCTCCCCCATCCCAAAGCTCTCACAGCAGCAGAGAGGAGACCCACACCACCCCGCGTCCAGACTGCTAATGAATTGTGCATGCGCAAAGCCGCCGCTGAGCCCGGATAAAAGAGGAGGGTGAATTGATTAAATTTGACATTCTAACATTTGCCAATACAGGACAAAATTGATTTATGTAATGTGGGTCTAGACAAAGCATTAAAGTCCTGAAGCTATTTAGAGAAGCGATGGCCTACTTAAATGGCAAAATATAAAACAAGCAAACCAAGAATCAACAGAAGAAAGTTCATTTGTAGTACTAAACATATTTAGGGTGTTTTTACTCAGTTTTTGTCTCTCCCATGACGTTATTCCTCTCTCCTACAACGTCCATTACAATTACATGCAAATTGAATTTTAGTCAAATTAGACGATGACATCATTTAGCAACTTCTAGTGACTTTTAGCACAGCCAATAGCTACTTTCCTTACTGAGGAGTTGGCAACACTGTGAGTGCTTGGTAACAGTTAGCCTGAATTAGCCTGAGTAGCTGTAGGGTGTGTGGGTGCAGTCAAAGAGGGGGGTTGTACTGGGACACTTGAACACACTGTTGGGCCTTCTGGGTGTAGCGGGCCCAACACTACGAAACACCAGTTAGTGAGAGGGTGCCCACCTGATGACCCTGTAGACTTGACTTCACTCCTACACCCACACAGAACTTGTACTGGACTAGTAACAGACTCACTAGAATTGTTAAGAGTCTTCTTTTGTTAAACTGTCTTGGCAGAACAGTGTCAGTGGCTGGACAACTGAGCAGACCCGGCTCTCAGAGGTGACTACCATTACAAGTTAGGTGGGCCAGCCACTGCTTAACCTGAGCAAATAAAATGCAGATGCTGTGTGTCAAGCTACATATCTGCTCTTTGTTTGGGTGACGATAGGGTTCAGGGATGCTTTGTGTTAAGGGTAGGTTAGGTCTGGAAAATGTTGCTCATTGTGGGGCTCCACGGATTTATGATGGCATGGCCTGACACCCCCCTCTTTGGGGCCAGATAATGGATAAACATCATTTAACTAGGGTTTCTACAGCTAATAATATGTCCTGTGAGATGCAGAACCTTTGACGGACTGCTGTTTCCTGCGGTAAACCGTACTCATTTCCTGTTTTCTGTATTTGCACTGTGTTGTGCTTGCTTCCAGATTGTTTAGGAATTAAACTCACTATTTTCTAGGTTCATCTGAATTTTTGAGTGACAACATACGCTTGCACCACTTAAAGCACTTGTTTTGCAGAAGTTCTTGCTAACTACCAAATTTAACTTGCTACTTTAGGTCGGCTAGTTTAGAAGCTAGCTAAGCTAGT